GATATTATTCACCCTAGCATATGACAACCATGTTTCTAATCAGAAAGCATAATTTTCTTGTATTGCAGTTGACAAAGCATGAGCTTTATTGGTGTATATTTAGGGGTGCCAGAAAGGAATGCAAGGTGCATTTTACTAATCTGGTTTAAAGCAGGGTTTGGATCATCCTCTCCCCGGTCCCCCTCAAAAAATGAKAGGAAACATTTAAAGCTCGATGCCAATAATGTAAATAGGAGATTTCTTTGCTGAAATTTGTTTAAGTGCAACAGCTTGCCAAATAGAAATACTGATTTCCCCTATTGGAGTAAATACCCCAAAAGGCGAACGCGCGGTATATTTATTCATTCATTCATTCATTTCTATTTTGCTGTATTCTAATTCTAGAACGATTTCACATAAGCGTTTTTAACATGCAAATGAGTTATTCGAGTATTTAACATGCAAATTAGTTGACACCTAAGCCACAGATAGCCCAAACGTATTATCAAAGGACGAGTTACATCGTTTATCAATTTTGAATTTTATTCAGTATCAAAGTTCGTAATAAATACAATGCATTCCAACTCGACTCAAGTTTTCAAGGTGACAACTCATCTCAGGTGTCAACTAATTTGCATGTTAAATACTCGAAAAACTCATTTGCATGTTAAAGACGCTTATGTGAAATCGTTCTATTATAGACTTTAGGAATTAGTTCGTATTATTATGCATCAGTCAATTGAACAATTGAGAGCCGCTTCGCGCAAAAACCAGACAAAACTGAAATTTTTTGGCAAGGCTCAAAAAATCAAATCTATTCATATTTTGTATATTGATAAGGTATGATTAGGTAACAATCGCTGTGTAATTGGTTTTTGAAAATATTTCATTTTTCGCAAGAAAATCGCTAATTAGTCGGGCGCAGGCCTTAAAAGTTCTACCTTTTCTTCAATCTATCAATCTATCTATCTATCTATCTATATATCAACGTCGCGTATAGTCCCCCATGATGCTTTACGAACTTAAAAATGATCACGATCATTTTCTAAGCTGACGATGTGTTTGAACTTGAAAACTGGACGTGTACGTGCTTACTGAACTCTGTACAATTAACAATTGTTTTAGTATAATTTCATAAGTGAATATTCATAAAAATAGAGAAAAAAGAACTACTGCATTTTCTCGTAAAATGTTATGTGGCGGGGATTGAAGATGGCGGTCGAGGGCCGCTCGGATTGACAGCAAAGTCGTCTTCTTGTAATAATTGCCATCTTTCTTCCTTATGGACACGTAAAACTTTGATAGACACTTGTTTAATTCACTTGTATCCATGTCTTCAAAGCTGACAGTAAATTCAGCAGACTGTTGTTGAAACCATTCTGTCAAAAAATGTATTGAGTAAAATGTAAACAAACCAGGCGAAAACCTACAAATTTCAGCCTGTTTGACGTAAAACGATAGATAAAAAAGTAGTTTTAGACAAGGTTTTTATTATCAAATAAACAAAACTTACCTGTAAAAAGTTTTAATCCAATTTTTTTTAAATCCAATTGTTTAATCCAACGACTCGCGGACGACGCCATTTTGCGAAAAAATCCAATATTCACCTATAGGTGAACATCGCTCATTGAATCGTCAAATTCGACCAATCAGCGCGCTAGAATTATGATATTCACTTATGAAATTATACTAAAAGTCTAAGTGTATGAAGCATTTTAATTCTTTATTCTAAAATATTTAGGATACTACGCGCGCTGTGATTGGTCGAAAACCATGTTTGATTACAGTATCAAAACACGCTCGCGCGCGTCAAAAATTTCTTTTTTCCCGCCGTTTGCATTTGTTGTTGTTATCATTCATTTTCAAGAACAATGAACGAA